TTCTCTGGAGGCACCCTGTAATCCCTCTGCCTCAGTCTTCCCATCTGCGGAAGGGGAAACCAGCAGGAGTTTTTGGCTATTGAATAACTATCTGTGAGTCACTCTGAAGATACAAGGGGCAAGACAGAAGAGAGGAAGAAAAGGCAAGAAATCAACAGGTGACACTCGTGCCAATACAGACACAGGTCACATCAAGCAAGAACAACAGTGCTGTTGCTCTGAGTACCTGTTTCCTATTTCCTTCCTCAAGGAGAATCAGGGTGATGAGAACGATGAGCAGCTGCTGGATGGGCAAAAGACTGTAGCACTACTGTCTGCAAATGGGCAGCTTGGAAGCTGCCGAATTTAGTGCTGTTAATGAAGATCCCCCTGAGCAAACTATTCTCCAAATGATGCTGGGGACTGGTGCAGGGAAGGAACAGAGCCAACATCTATTTCTGCCTGGCAAAAGCAAACAAGCAAACACACACACCAAGATCGCTGTGATTCTCAGAGAGTATTAGCAAAGGACAAAACTTGCATAACTGCCATAAATTATAAAAGCCTCCCTCAATCTTGGCTAATTCTCTTGTAAAAAGGGAGGGAAAAATCTGGAGCAGCTCAGCATGAAAACAATTGTGGGAGGGATAATAAAGAGACAGCACCGAGGTATCTAGTTGCTAGCCCTGATATCATTAAGTAAGTGCACTAGAAATGTCGAGGTAAATGCATAGCAGTGAATCAGAGTCAGGCATGATTAACCTTGGGTAGTCTGAACTGGAAATCATTTACAAACACAAAGGTACTGAAGAACATCACAACAGACAGTACATCAAAAGTCATCCCAAGAGCGGGAGTCTTGCCAAGCACTTTGTGTATTTGTGCCATTTTTGAATTATTGTCATATTTTGCACGTGGGAGGATGGAAGATCGCAGACCCCCAGCTTGGGGAGGAGTTTCTATAGCATCGCAAGGTCCTCCGAAATGTGTGCACTGGTTGGAATCACTTTTCCTTGCATAGAAGTTTCATAAAATTAAAGGCTTTAATTGCAACGTTCCAAGGTTTACTGAAAGGATCCAGTTTTTGACAAAGAAAGACTAAAATCCTGTATCTTAAAATATTGAAGAACAAAAGAGCACTCTTTCTTCATCCCTCCCCTACTCCTTAACGCAGCCCTTCAGTTTTACCATAACTGGTAAAACCAAGGGGAGAAAGGATTTTAATAAAAGTTAGGTGTTTTTAACAAAATCTGTGAAAGTTTTCTGATCATCGAAAATTGAACCTTTTAGCACAAAACCGAAAGAACAAAACATTGCTGGATATTTCTGAACAGTCCTAAAAGTTTAGAAATGCTCAGCAAAGCTGTAACCAGATGACCCATAGAGGGCTATATATATATATTAAGAGTACAACAACAAAAAAACCCTTCAAATCCAGAATTCTCGTGCCTTTAAAAGCATTCAATTACAAGGAACATGAATCAACTGGGGAAGACTCCAGACAGCTTAACACCTTTGTATTGTTTGCACCTTTTATTGCACTTCTTCAGTGCCAGCTCAGGCGATTATTGTGCGTACCGAGGCAGTGAAGGCCATAGGAATATCGTGCAAAAGGGTACAGCTCTGCTCAGACTTCCTCCCCGCTTTCGCATCATTCTCATTCTCCTACATCCATCTCAGTTATCTCTAGCATTGTAATAACTGCCCTTATTTATCTGCCTCATTAGGATGTTGCATCAATTAATGTGTATCATCTAACGCATACCAGTTTCTTAATGTTTAATATTATTATCAGTGGAGAGCTATGTCATACTGAGTCTATCCAGGGAGTCAATGCATACAGGAAAAAAAAAACGTGCATAATGCTATTCAGCATGATGCATTTACAGTACCCAACCCCCCTCAAACAGACCACCACATGTCCTGCACTCTAGGTTTCTATACTCTCGGAGGTTACACGTAGCACCTTTGGCCACGGGGCTCCAGGTCACAGGGTAGTATCTGTTTTTGAGGACCTGGAGCCCAGTGGACAAGGCAGGAGGAATGTCTTAAGGAGAGACTTCATGTAAATGCTCAGTTCACAAGCGCCTCACTGCCTGATTCAGGAGGGTAATCAACCTGTCCTTTGAAGCTGCATAAATAATGTTTGGATGGAGGTAGTAAATCTGCACCAAGGATGAATTAACTGCCACTGAGTCATATAAGCTTGGCTTGAGTGTGTGGCTTGTAACATGCCTGAGGAAAATAAAAAAGACATTTGCAAGAAAGAAACATTAATTTGCTCCTCCCCGTCTTTTCTGTTATTTTTATCTAGGCCAACATGACTTGCTTTGTGGGTTTTTTTGTTGCTGTTTGTTCCATTTTCACAAGGAAACACTGATTCACACTGAAATGAATCCACAGTTTCTCCTGGTCAGGCCTGAATGTGCCACCTCTCCTACATCAGTGTCGCTCCTTTTTAGCACCCCTGCCGGGAGATGCCAACCAGACTCCTCCGACACTCTCAGAAGAGTGACACCTCGCAAGAGGGTGCAGGTTTTTTTACTCATGGGGACCCCTGGCAGCGTTCGTGCTCCCTCGCACACCTCTCCCCTTGCACACCCCCGCCGGCTCCCAGCTGCAGGTCTGGGCACTGCCGGGGCTCTCGGTCAGCTGTGCAACGGCATGGTCTTCTCCACGTACGCAGGGGAAGAGTACGTCCCTTACTGTAGACGGCACCCAGGCACATGCGCTCATGTATCTGTGTGTACGTGTGCACTGCGGGTCCTTCTGGTTGTGCATCTTGTGCTCAGGTGAGAGCTGCTACATCCCAAAAATGAACAGAGGAAGTCTGTATTCATGACTACCTGAGAACCAGGGATAAAAGTCTGTCCTAGAAGAAGGTGGAAATGAGAAGAAACCCAGGGAAGGCCAGCCGAAGGCAGCAGGAAGAGAACTGGGATGTCAGTGTGCACCTACACATCAACAGGAGTTAATTTATGTCACTGTAAAACTCAAGTATCCAGCCCCCTATTCAATAACACATACATTTTAGTTTACTAATAGCTTTTGCTCGTATCGCTCTCCCTTCTTTCTCGTTTCCAGTGTTTGACCTCTGGTTTTCTCTTCCACTGCTCTCAGTTTTGTATCTCCTCCTGAAAATTTGGCATTTGCAGTTTCTTCTCCTCTTTCTTAGCTGTACCCCTCTCATTTGCTTTCTCCCCCTTTGGCACAGCACTTGCTGGTTCCCTTCCTCTCACCTCCTCCTTTCTCTCCTGCCTCCTTTTCCAGACAAATAATTTCTCTAACTAGAGGGGCCTCTGCTTCTCGAACACAGTAATTTACCAGTGGTAACCAGTTGTTTCTACTTCTGAAAATTGCTCTGGGAACCAGTATCTGCTATGGGGTAGCCTTAGCATGTAGTAACAATTTAAAGATATGCATTATAAATATACTATATGTAGTAGCACATGTTTCAGAAGGTTGTACTAAGATCTCTTATTAGGCAAGGAACCTTTCACACCTCACCAGCTTCTGAAGTCTGCTGTATCTAATACAGCACACTATATGACAGTATGTAGTCTCAAACCAAAACCATAAACATGTTGGGGCATATCCCGGAACCCATATTCTGGGTTCAGAGATCTTATGGGATTTTAATCCAGTGAAGGAGAAGAAAGGAAAGTAAAGAACATTCCTCATGAATAAAATAGCGTCTGGCCAGAAAAACCACTTTGGAGGATGGCTTATGTTTTACATATTGCTAAATATCAGCAAAAATAAATGTGTTCATTTCTCCAAAATACCTCCAGATGGCATTAAAACCCTTCTTCTTTCGGTCTTTATTGTGATATTCTTTTTAAAAATGATAATTATTGGAATCATTCTATTAACCATTCCCAGCAATCATACTATCAGAAGGCGTAAGGCTGCTACTGCTTAATTCATTTAATAAGTTTGGCTAAATATGCTCACATACTGTAATTACATTGCACAACACAATCTGCAGGACAAGCTATTTCTTACACCACGTCAAATCTTTTTCTAGATTCATTTCCAGAAGATTTTTAATGTGTATTTGCAGCAGAAATCAAAACATCCCACAATAAATCACCGTTATTGTACCTCCTTCTGTGACTGCTTTTGGCCATGTAACAAATGGTGACATCTTGCGAGATTTACATGATATAATGCTCTGAATTTAAATAACAGGAATCAGAAAACATAAATTATGGGCAAGATGCACTCTAAGATTCACATGACTGACTGTCACAAGAACTTCCCTCCATCAAATGGGATTAAAAAGGTGAATGGTTTTGCAGACATTCATAATGCTCCTGCCTGGTAGTTATAAAAGGAATTCACTTATTTAGCTCAGTTTGGGAGACTGATGCTATTTATTTTTTTTTTTTTTTAACTTGCAGCCCATCTGTTTCATAGGCTGGTTTACGTTGGCAAAACAATTCAGTCCTTTGTATACTAGAGTTAAAAATGGTAAAAGCTTCTATTGTTGCACCAGAGTGAAGGTGAACACTGATATATTACAAGTGCCTGTTCCTATCTATTTCTCGACTTCTTTTGTTAATTCAAAAACATCAACAAAATCGTGAGAGACCAGAGATAGCTGTAATTGGATTTCAAGTAATTCAGAGGTGAAGCTGCAGACTGCAGTCTTTTAAAATTACATCAGTACATCAAAGGCATATGTGACATGATGTTTTTTAGCAAGTGTGACAAACTCCAGCAGCATTAAGGTAATGTTGAAGTCAGGTTCTAAAGGCCAGCCTCGCACACCCACAAAAATCATCTCATATCCGTTCAGCTTGATGTGGAGCCATTTCACTTGCAAAGATCTCTGACTTATACTAGCATGCAAAAGTTCTAGGAATAATTAATGTTTAGTCATTATCTAAAAAGCCTTTTTAAGAAAAGCATCAGTGAAAGAGCTTTATCTTAATGAAAACAAACAAATTCTATTTTGCCCAACAAATCTGATAAAAACACAGCTGCCTTCTCCGATCTTAAATGCAAAAGTGACTTACGATGTATGGGTTGCGCTTTTCTCTGGACTCTTTGGCTCTACATCACTTTTCCCTTTAAAAGAGAAGAAGAAAATGATATCAGAAATGGGTCATTATGGAAACTGCTCAGATGTGACACGTCAATGCTTTATTCATTGCTAACACTGACCACTCTTGCCACATGTGCAGACAGCCTCCGAGGCGATCACAGGGCTGCGGGGGCACTGCTGGAGCATTTGCAAGCGGGGAGTCAACCCTGACTTGACTTTTCTTGTCACTGGCACATGTACTCTGGAAATGTCAGGCAAGGAAACTCCACAAGAGAGGACACAAGCTTTACCAGGGATAGCAGACCTCGGAGCCATAGAAAAGATTTCTCTAGGCCCCTACAGCTCTGCTATTGAGAGTGCACCCCATCCAACATGCACATGCTCCAAAACCCTGCTCCAGGAACAGTAATTATTTCATACAAAGCAAAACAGCATCAGCAGGAGCTAGTAAGGCAGTGATTAGGACACAATTCTGCCAATGGGTGTTTTGGTTCACATTCATTTTGACAGATTAAGCATCTGATCTTCAGCTCCAGTAAGTGAGGGCTGGAGAAGCCCTCTTTGCTATGTTGTATATTTTGGCTAAGGCACACAACCCCAGGAGAAGTCAGGTACCCAAATGCTTGAGAAGCATCAGAGGCGCAAGGGATGCCTCTTCACTTTTCTGTACGACTCACATGGGTCCTGGCAAAGCATGTTGGCTTGTGATGATCCCCTTCTTGGGTCCAAAATCATATATGTGCCCAACACAACTTAGTTACATAGCACAGACACCAGGGAAGCAGGCTGCTAGCTGATGGGAAGGGTCATACTGCTTCTGCCAAGTCAGGCCAAGTCCTTCTCCCTCCTTTCTCGCCCTGCTCCCCCCACAGTAAGGCTGATGTTTGCTGTAATTATTGCTCTCTGAGTAACCAGAGAGAGTTACACTTCAGTGTAAGATTTTTGCTTAGCTCTACCATGGATGTGCAGGGTATGCCGCTCTACTTGAATCACCTTGAACTTGAATTCTGGACCTAGCGACTGTGCAGCTGCTGCTCCTCTTGTGTGTCGCTGGATGCTAATAGCTGTCTACACATGAGTTTATGTTGCCTAGCAGACAAGGAGGCGCAGAGGTTGAGTGTGACTGGTTTACTGATGGATGTGTTTTTCTCCATTACCTTTTAATGAGCTTCGTTAAACCAAAATCCACCTGTGCCTTCTGAAAAAAATGTGAGAAGTGCTTGTTTTGGTCAGGCTGTTTCAGTGCCTGATTTTCTGCTCATTGACTTGAGTTGAGTGAGCTGTGGATCAGCCCCCAAGCTATTCCATGCACATGAGCATTATGTATCATCCATTTGCTGCTGCCAAAGTCCTCACGCTCAGTTTCCATACAGTGTTGGGGTGCTGGCAATGGCTGTAAGGGGCACCTCTGGAAAATTTGCTGTTGCCTTCAGAAGAGGCAGCGTTTTGCTACCAATGTCCTTCCACTGCTGTACAGAAGCAAGCTGAAGGACTTACTCTAATCAACAACCTTCTGGAAGTGGGTGTCTTGCAGAAGAGGTTCTAGGTATTGCAAACACCTTGCCGTGGTGCATTTAGATCTTGTCCTCCCCTGTGGAAGAGTTTGTGTCTACCCAACTTAGGTGCCTAAACTTTAGTGAACAGGAATGGGGGAAGCTCTGGATGACTTAAAAAATACCGATGCCTCCCTGTGGTCCTCTAGGGAAGCTAAGCACTTAGTGTAGGAGGACAGCTAAAGGCACCTAAAATTTAGGCACAAGCTGGGCATCCACACAGGATGGAATACATCCACTCCACAATCTCTAGGGCACTTTTCACTTTTAGCAGAGACCTCAGAAAGTATATCCAGATGATGAACTTGCTGGCTAGAAAGCTGTTGCTACAGTATATGTCTGTCAGCCTTAGGGTTCCTGGAGCCCTGGAGCTCATCTGCATTATGGTAATTTGGAACAAGAAACCAACAGTAACAGTTGGCATATATTCAAAGATTTTCTATTCGTAACTTAGGCTTTTTATAAGTAAGTGATGAATTATTACCATGAACACTGGTTTGTTTGAGTGTGAGGGGGAATATGGATTCCTGAGTGCTTTGCCAGCAGAGTTCACATCAGTTCTACTTTCAGCAATGTATGTTAATGCAGCAACAAGGGAAACAGCGTAAGTACTGTGAGGAGGGAGAAAAGGGTATCTCTGTGATTTAGCCAAACTGGATATTAATGAATTACCCTACAGTAAGCATTTGCAGCTGCTTTTATGCTAATCGTCACTTAACATACTTCTGTGAGGCGGGGGAGGACGAAGCTTGTACAGATGGTAGAAACGCATCAGTCTGGCCTATCAGAGTAGAAAATCTGGCCATTAATGCTTTATCAGTTCTTACCAAGTTTGTTCTCACTTGACTGAATCACAGAAATTTTAAAAATGTGTATAGGCTAAGCATAGTTGAATGTCACAGATACGGTACAGATAAGATTTTTGGATAAGCATATGTAAAAGGGAATCATCTGTCAGAACAACTTGGTTTTTTCACACTCACTCTTGGCCAGACTAATATTTGTTTTCCGTTTTCCATGTAACCTGCCAAATGCATGCAGGTACCATTGTGGGAGGCTGGCATTTGCTGAACTGCTAAATCCTCTCTAGCTCTGGCTGCTTCTTATGGCCAAATTTGTGTCATCCTTTGTTTTTCTTAGTCTTTTAGGAATTGTCAAAGAATACGCTACCCACCTTGCTTCTTTTACAGGACTGCTGTTAGTACACTTTATTTCAGGTGCTAAGCACTGTGTACATCTTCTGAAACAGGTGTGGATGTGTGTGTGTGTCTGTGTGTCGATGTGTGTATGCATACACGTGCCTCCAGAAACACATGCTGGAAACCATCAGTCCTCAGATCCTTAGCCACAGAGCTGGGAGTTCATTGCTAGTTTCTACCTCATCTCACACAATTCCCTTCCTAATCTTTTTAGGTACAACCAGATGAGACACGTCCAGATTTCTCCCATTTCAAAATAAATTTCAAACGAACTTTTGTAGGATTTCTCCGTCGAATAGTGGGCAGCCAGAGAAGGAGTTCTCTCCTCTGAGTTGGAATTTGGGTGAATCACTCAACCTAACCAGGCCAAATTTCTCTTTCCGGGTAACAGGGATAAATAATATTTATTGTGACATGGCAGTATAATTTCAGCCATTATGGTTTTTAAATGCTTTCATTTCCTTGTGGGGTGTCCTGGTTTTGGCAGGGATAGAGTTAATTTCCTTCCTAGTAGCTGGTACAGTGCTGTGTTTTGGATTTAGGATGAGAATAATGTTGATAACACACCGATGTTTCAGTTGTTGCTAAGCAGTGCTTACACTAGTCAAGGACTTTTCAGCTTCCCATGCTCTGCCGACTGAGAAGGCTGGAGGTGCACAAGAAGCTGGGAGGGGGCACAGCCAGGACAGCTGACCCAAACTGGCCCAAGGGACATTCCATACCATGTGACGTCATGCTCAGTACATAAACTGGGGGAAGCTGCCCGGGGGGGCCGCTGCTTGGGGAGTGGCTGGGCATTGGTCGGTGGGTGGTGAGCAATTGCATTGTGCATCACTTGTTTGTATATTTTTTTTTTTTATTATTATTTTATTTCAATTATTAAACTGTTTTTATCTCAACCCATGAGTTTTCTCACTTCTACTCTTACAATTCTCTCCCCCATCCCACCGGGGAGGAGCGGGAGTGAGTGAGCAGCTGGGTGGTGCTCAGTTGCCGACTGAGGTTAAACCACGACATGAGGGAAGGATGAGAGAAATGCAAATGTTATCCATGAGAAAGACAATGTTTGCAGTGGAGTAAAACCATTGCAAATGACAGGCTCAAGAGCCATTCTAAAGGAGACATGGTGCAATGGGAAATTATGGCTAACTGGGACTCTGAAGATGTGCATTTGGATAACACAGTACATAGACCATTAGATTTCTTTCCCACATAGAGTCATTTGCTAGCATTTCCTCACAGCCGAATCCTTTTTTTCCTGAATTTCCTTTGAGTTTGACGTAACAGGACTGGCAAGGTCTATGTCTCATTCTAACTGTGTCTTATTCAGTGTCTTATTCCAGCACCTTGACAGGAATCCTCATGGATACAGGTCTCAGAGGTAGACAAATTCCCTCTGCAACATTAGGAAAAGTGTCTGGGTGTCTGACAGCGACCATAACTTTTGCCACTAATGAAGAAAATGTTTCTGCATGGGTTCAGCTGTTCTTTGGTTTGATTGCCATCAGCCAGGCAGTACCAAGTGCAGCTCCAGCCCAGCTGCAAATATATGCTGATGTTGCTGAGCAGGATGAATGAGGAGGTAAGAAGAAGCTGGAGGTACTGTGGTGTGGGAGGGCAGACGGGGTAATTGGAAGTAAAGTGATGTCGGAGACCACTGGAGTAAGGAGCAGAGGAAAGTTGTAAGGAGGTAGGACCGATTTCCTAATCCACAGGAAAGCAGGTTTTGTTAGATCTGCAGAACAACCTATTTTATTCAAGTGTTGAAAGAAGGAAATACTTGAAATGAAACTATGACCAAAGCTGTCCAAACACTGTGGCCTCTGATGTCATCGCGAAGCCCTCAGCTCAGCTGGTGTGTTTGTCATGCTTGTGACTCTGCGTGTGTTTGCATAGCCCTTTCTATTATGGCCCTTTTGTGCTTCCTTCTCTCATTACTGTGTTCATTATTTTCTGACAGAACCTCATCGCCTTTGCCTTTTATTATTTCCTTAGTGCTGGTACCCACAGCAATATCAAGCCGATGCCAGCAATTAAGTGACACCACTGCATGTTTCTTCACAACATTGTCTTCCGCATGCCGACCTTTCCCCAGCAAAGCGCCACACCGTTTTAATAGCCTACATCTCCCAGCCTTGTCTCTCTGGATGTCTTCTCCCTCATGCAGTGGGTGACCAGCCACTTTCAAAGCCCTACCTTACCAGCTCAGGGCATTTTTCATCTTCAGTCACAGCCCTGTAAATTGCAAACAGGGCTCTGTGCTGGCTGACAGGTCAGGAAGCTAGCAAAATAGTTCTTTTGGTTGAGATGATTTTATGTTGAGAGCAGGATAGGATCATGTATTTTTAATATGCAAGACAACATTAACAACAGTCAGAGGTGCCAGGGGAGAGGATTAATATTTTGTTTCGCAGAACAATTCAATCTTTCCTTTCAATACAGCTGCTAAGTTTTTTACCATAACTGAATGTAATTAAAGTGCTGCTGATCTGCACCATGATTTGTAAATTGGAGTCCACTGAAAAGCCCCAACCAGGAGCCACACAAGCACATATCACTCCCCTGCCTACACTGCTAGCCAAAAAGACCCACGACCACATGGCCTTTGAGACATTATCTGGTGTTAGTTTGGCAGGATTTATGTAGCTTATTACTGTGCAATAGCCACAAGATATACCATTGCCTATGAAAGACAAATGATAACAAGTCTTCCTGCAGAATTTTCTGGCAGTCTGGATCTGGCTGTGCAACTAGGTCAGCTCTTTTCTGGCTTTCTAAGAAAGCCACTCTTTTGGCCTTTCAGTCTTTCTCATCTACATAATGAAATGGCCATAACGAAATGAATCCTTTTTGTTCTTCCCAGTCCACCAAAAGAGCTGACATTTTGATGGTCGCTCCTCAGTTCAGTTCTCCACATTTGGCCATAGCCAAGTACTGCCTACTGAGGCTCTGCGCTGTCCCAGTCTGCTACTGGTTCCTTACTCTATCAGTCACTTGTTTTTCATAGTCATTGTCATCCCCTCCACCCAATGCAGCCAGAAAATGAGTTGGTACTTACTTGTATTGCTGTGTCCTGTAGATCCTTGTTGTGACTCCTACAGTAATAATAGAAAAAAGGTACGGTGTGTTATTTTTACGGCAATTTTTAGCTGCGATTCTTGCTTGAACATTACCTTAACAATACAAACAGCATTGCTAATTGTTCATTCAGTTTCAAAGTAGTTTTCAATTACAAGAATAAATTCAATATTTCTTTGGAAATCCATTAATTCTAAGGCTTGTAAACTTATTTCACAACAACCCTTTAATGGTGCAATTCCTTGTATAGCTATTATGACTCTCCTGCTCATTATTCATTTATTGATCAGCCAAAACTCGTCTATTATCTTCTACAAGTTTAGATGAGAAGACAGAGGGAAGACCAATATTGTTTCATGGACCACTGGATTCCTGAGGTAGTAGCACAGCTGGTCTTTCCTTTTCACAAGTTGATATTGACAGCACTGGAGAATGGAAATACAGACTTTACTTCTGGGTCCCCAAGATTACAAGGTCAACCTTGTATCACAACCGCAGTATCTATGAATGTGGTGCAATAAATCAGACCATTTTTTCCTCACATGCAAATGTTCACATATTTTACTCACAGAATTTGTTTGCATTCATAAAAATACAAAAGAAGCCTATAAATAGAAGGGAAAAACAAATATAAACTATAACAAAATGGTATTTAAATTAAGGCAAAAAAGAACACTTTGCTATGGATGACAGCAGGGAAGGTATCCTGTATGTAACTCTGCTTCTGAATAACCCAGAGATGCACAAGAATACCACCTCGTATACATGCTGCAGTTACAACTGCTCGGAGAGGCCAGGCACCCACAGCAACACACGCGGTCATCTGTGGTGAGGAATAGGGCGCTGGACCAGATCCAAGTCCCCGGAGAGCTCAAGGATGCTCCGACTTGGCCGAGCTGAGACTTTGCTGCTGAGTCACTCAGAAGCACCAGGGGCTTGGGGCCCCAAGAGTTTCTTGACATCTCTAAATGGAGGATGGCTGGACCGCAGGCACTGGGGTCTCGAGGGCTCAGCTAGTCAAATCACCTCGATCTGCACCATTTGCTCTGGAGTCAAGGCTCTCCTTTGATGTGTAATTTTTATGCTATAATACACACCTGCAATTCACTGCCATCCTACGCACCTGAAATGCGAGACATCAAATTTTTGGGCAAGCCCTAAGAGTTTCTACCTTCAACTGCAGTATGAAAAGATCTGTACCGTGTTTCACATGCCGACAATAATTTCTCAATAATTTAAAATTGTCCACTTTTGAAAATCGCCTCAGCTTTCTGTGAATGCTTCTGATGAAGGGATATTAAACCCTGTTTTTTTCTGGTGACTGAATATAATCTTAAGAAGTCAGGATCAGCTTGCAGTGGTGATGTAGTGACATATACACTTGAATTTAAATGCTATTCTAGTAGCCAACCAGGCTGCCAATAAAAGTAGGCTATTAGAGCATGTTCAGTTTCCAGAATAGTGAATTTATGTGCCTAGAGAAGTTGGGGGAATACAATCATTCTGACGGAAATACCCGCAGGTTTGTAAAAGTGTTTGAAACTGCTAAAGAAGGATCTTGCTCACTCTTTTACATTTTCATCAACCTCAGGAAGAATGCACTCTCCCCTTTAACTGCCTAGCACAGTATCTTACCTCTGCCATTGGCTCTGCATAGTCTCAAATTTGACCTTCAGCAAAACATATGAGCTATAACATTTTCACTTTTCCTTTTAACTGATTCTTTAAAATAAGTGTCTTGATTCTCAACAAATTATTCTTAATAATAAAGGCCAATATAAAAATATCATAGTGAAATAGAGAATGCTCCCACTGATGTAGGAAAAACGTACTACATTATGTAACTTAAAAACCAAAGGTGAAGTCTTCACTTCTGGAGATTATTTTCTAGTGCATTTGCTCCAGCTTGTTAAAATCAACACAAAAGGAAAAAGTAAATGAATTGAGCATGTAAAGAATAACATCACTATGATAACTTAGCTTCTGCTGAGAATAATCACCCAATAGCTTTGTGACAAGACACCAGCTCTCCTGGAGTGGATAAATTAATTCTCAAATAACAACATGATGGCTGATCCCATAATATCACACACACATAACTAGAAATCAAACACCTGATCAAACTTTCAAGACATGAAATCACAGTAAAAATGAAGAAAGAGAGCAAAGCAGGCAGCAGAATTAACAGCATTTTTTTCCCCACACAAGAGTAGAGAATTAATGCCTGAACATGAAAGTTCATTCGCACAAGCATCAAGTGAGCTCTTATTTACCAAATTTAATTATTCATTTAAAGTTTATTTATTAAGATGTTTTTAATAAAATTACAATCAAATAATGCCTGATCATTTGTACATAACAAAGTGAGACAGAGATAGCAGAAAGGAAAGCACACACAGCCTGTCACATCACACACTCATTCAATTATCCTTAAGCTTTGAAAAACAAGAAATAAAGAGACTGTCGTTGCCCCGTCCTAGTAAATTCAAGAGTACAAATTAATTCCACAGAAAAAGAAAATTCAAAGTTAAGGATGAAATGTAACTTTATGCCCTCTGTTACATAAAGGACAGTTCCCTAAATGTGCTCTCCCAGCAGCGCTGTGCTGGGAAACCTATTGGGCACTGCCATACGTGTCAAACCTGACCCAGACTTTCCTTCCATTCTTGTGCATTAATGCAGACCTCCCATGTTAATGAGGTCTGATTTCATATACAGGTACAGCATATGCACATACATCCCCCCCCCATCCACCGAGCATATATAGATGGACACATCCACACGCGCAGTTTCAAATATGCTATTCTGTTACATTTGTTATATATAAACCTCAGTTATTTAGCTTTTATTACTAGACTGATTTCAAAACCACTCTAGCCATAGTTGCTGTGGCCTTTGCAACTTTAATAGCCTAATTAATAAATTTCAAGTTTCAAGCTGTCAGATCACTAATTACTTGAGTTGCAGGTTAAAAGCAGTGTGGCATGTATGGGAACTAATGATGCTGACACTCAGTTTTTATAGACAGAAAAGTAAGGATGATTTGCATCCTTGCAACAGGGCAGGAGTCCTACAAGCTTCTCTTTTTCTCATTCCCAAAATGATGAGTATCTCTACACTTGGGAACTGTCTTCTGTTAAAAAGGATTGCAGCCTACTTGCTTCTCTGGCTGGAAGAGTCATTGCAAATGAACTGAACTGATCTCTCAACACTGCCATAAAGACTGAAAATGAATTCACGGTACCATGCATCGCTTGGAACTAAGAGATGAAGCCGATGCCCTGAATTTAGCCTTTTAGCCTCTTTGCTAGCCTTGGCCACTACTTAACTGACAGGCCCATTTATCTGAATAATGTGCGATCCACAACAGTTTGGTGTAGTCCTTAGGTTTTAACAAGTTGGGACAGCTACGTAGCTTGCCTGTGGGAAAGCTTCCTAAGAATTATGGAGACATCCCCTATGAGATCCAATAAAGATTTTACACCACACTTTGTGAAAAGCAATAGCTAGCTTACGAATGTTTCAAAAACATGTTTGAAAAATTAGGAAACCATTCTTAGTATTTTGAGGCCTGAAAAGCAGATGCCTTCTAAAGTCTGCGACTGTCCAGATTCAGAGTAAGCCACAGAAGTAGCTTTTAATTATTTTAAAATATTTTAAAATAGAGGTGATGTCTAAAATTAACATGATCTATAGCCAGTAATGCAGGACTTTTCCAGGACTCTGGTGAGTTTTGTTAGCTACTTCTTCCCCATCTCTCACAATGCACTCTAATTTCTGACCATGCAGACCACCCAGGCCACAATATAGTTTTGACGTTATTATATGTACAAAAGTATGCTCATATATTATTACATGAAATCTTGTCCATCCTAAGCTTAAATAAAATGGAAATTCTACTTTGGTAAGAGAAAAGGAAACCACCTAGAAAAGGCTTTTTAAAAATGAATGGTAGATCTCTGAAATGGCTCTGCAGTTCAAACTATTAGAATATTTCCCAGAGAGATGGATGAACAGGCAGAGAGAAGATGAGAAAGTCAATATCAACCATTATTCACATATCTTTGCCCTATGGTCTGTGGTTCTCCTCTTCCTTTATTTATCACAATACATTTAGTTGTGAGGAAGTGCATTCATGATGGCCACACAGATACGCTGATATGTGCATACCTTGCCCATGCACGTCTGCACACGTGCCACTCAAGTACATCACGTAGTGATAATTATGGCAGAAACTGCAGAGCTGCAAGCACCACTTCGTTTTTGTCATCCATATCCGGGCACTTCACCTGCTTGTAAGCTGCCGATCCATCTATCTCCTACTGGACTTACTCTAACGTAACAAGCCTCTAGCCTGCCTACCATCTTCAATCAGCTGTCTACCTTCAACAAGCAAATAGGCAGTGAGTTATTTCCTTCTTTTTCTTTCATAACATGCCAGAGGTGTTTTGGTTTACACCCCTGGTACTTCAAAATCATGACACTGTCATCCACAGAAAAGCTGTTTTACTGTAGGCAAAGCTTGAAGGTTTCTTGGCTTTGTGGTTATAATTATTCCCTGCACTAAATTTTGCAAAATGGACTTAAAGTTACCAAAGGAGCTTGCTTTAACAGGAGAAAGGCTATAAACAGCATCAATACCATCCTTCAAGCTTGAACACTTCATGAAATATGCTTGTGGCATGTAAACAGTATATGGTGATACAATGGGAAATTTTTATTGGCTCTTGCATAAGATAGCTGATTTCATTCCCTCCTGACTTACCAAGTATAAAGAATGTGGTTTCCCCAAGCTCGTGCCGATGAGCTTTACCACGCCGCACTGCATCCTCCCTGGGATACACATACAATAGTGGAGCTGGTTTCAAGGGACCATCAGCAGGACCAGTGGCCTTGGTTCCTTGAGGGACCAAATACTTCGCTGGCAAATACTTCTGTGGCCCCTCTGGGCATCATGGCACTGGGCTGCCCGCCTCTCTAGCAAAGCTGCCCCTGAAGCCAAGTTGGTGGCAGGGGATGTATGCCCACTCCTCAGCCCCCAACTGCAGAGGCCAGTGTCTTAGTAAAGCCCACCTCAGACCTCAATGGTTTCAATAAAAATCTCGGCTATCGAAGCCAAATGAAGCAGGAGCAATGTATGTGAGCAGGAGCTTCTTGACTTGCAGCAGCTCTCTGTGCCCTGAGGTATCCATCAGGAGCCTCAGCAGGTGCCCACAGAAGGCACCACATCTGGACACCCCACCAGGGACACCTGCGGTTTTGCCTTGCGGTGAGGAACCCGTGACCCACACACCAGCATCAGTGCTGCTTCCAGGAGATATGCAAACAAGACCATGTAGCCCTGCAGAGGCTGTAAGCAGGGAAAAGGCAGGGGATACTGGCACACACACGGAGAAGGTCATCAGCACAGCATCAACCTCACCCCAGAGACCTCACACGCTTAGTCAGGGCTCATTTAGGACACGTTTTGAGGTGCAGGAGGCATGTTTCTACATGATGTTGCATGTCTTACCTTGTTTGGGAAGGGAAACTTGCTTTGTTCTGCCTTTCCTGGTGTGTGAATAGCTGACAGTGGTGGAGGCCATGAATGGGTCATCTCCTGAAAAAGAATGTTGTACAGCAAACTGTGTTTAGAAAGTCAATGGAATAGGAGACAATGATAGTATATCAGTAGCAAGAGTGCCTGGGTAGTGGAATATTTAAGCTACTGCAGCTTCTAGGAAATGCCCAGTTTACATATAATCTAGACAATACATGAGCTACGTTGATTTTTATCACAGACTCTTGAGAGCAGTTCTTAAGCACCATTTCATTTTCCTGAATAGTTAATGCATCTTAAGTGCAAGAAGTTTCATTTTTCTGACAGTCTGCAACCACATTTTAATCATGCAGTGTATTCTGGCTGGTGAGACTAACAGAACTTTTTTTTTGTAGCATGGGAACAGAAATTTCAGTTCATGACCAAGTAATGGGGTACACACTATGGACTAATCACGGAATAGATTTCATAGACAAGGTCAGAATGATAAATGCTCAACACTTGCTCAACAGTTAATTCCTAAAATTGCCTTTATCATTGTAAAGGAGTTGAGTAAGGTCCTAACTGCAACGTGTTTGTGCCTTGCAGGACACAGACATGTGGCAAGCCCTAAACAAGGTGTGCTGCACTCCACCTTTGTCTCCTCCCTGTGCTGTTTTGAAGGACATTTTTTAATAGCTAAGAGACATACGTAGCTTGACCTGACTTGTATGCAGTCATCCTTGACACAGCTTCAGGTAGCAGGTAGACACGTGTTCAATACCATTATTATTCAAGCCTGAATGAGTTGGTCTCCAAAGCAAGGCTGCTTTTGATGATGTGTAAATTAAACACTTCAGACAAGAAGTTTGTTAAGAGAGAGGTTCCATATTCCTCTCTAGTGCAGGCTGTTAAAGGATGGACATGTTTTTTGACATGTTCAGCACCAACAGCCATAATATTTGGTACACAGTAATTAACAGAATTAATATGAGAAGCAGCGCAGAGCGTGACAACCCTGAAGAGTCGGCCCGTAAGTTTCAAGAGCTGAAGAGCAACTAACATCCTGCCTAAGCAGGGGGCTTGCTGACACTATCAAGAGTTTGCCTGGCAGATGCTTTGCTGGGTTCTGATACCATTAGCTGACTGTGGAATTGTTTCTCAGTGATATTCCAAGGAGTCGTGCTGAGATCCATGATCAGTCCCAAAATAATGCTGGAGTTATATTTCCATGACTCATTCCTTTTTAAAGAGAAAAGAAAATGTTCTGGTTTGAAAAAAGGTGTGGGTGAGTCTCTTGCCCGTCCTTCATTAGCACTGATGGAAGTGCTTCCTGACCCGGCACGGACTGAGCTGGGGCATTTTTTACATAGAGGAAAGTCTCCGGCTGTTCTGCCAATGAAAGGATCAGCCCTTTCAACATAGTTTATTAGTAATAAATGTCACCTTTAAAGCATTCTTGATAAACAGTTTATTTCCTAATAAAAACTGCATTCTTTTATTTTATTTGAGGCTAAAAAGTTACATGATTTATTATACTTCTGTAATCTACGTGTGTGCCTCTAATCAGAGCATCATCTGGTTGCAGTTTCAGTATCAGAATTGCTTTGCTTTTGAGTTCTTTGAGGCAGATGATTGTTCATCTTATGACTTCCTTATCTGATAAGTGCCAGCAATAGCAGTATACAGTATTTTTTAATATACAGTAAGTTCTTTAAACTCAGGCAACAAAAATCACAGGCAACCAGACCAATGTTTGCTACAAGTACCTGGCACACGTGCTATTGTTTTCAAAAGATTAAGGAATTACATATTGAGAAATATTCCAACAGTAAAGGTTTATGACAATAAATTGATGAAAAGGAGATTGGCAATGTGGACATTTAATCCTAAGGCTGTGATCTAAAAAAGTATCGCTTTCTCTCCTGCTTTTCTCTGCTTTTCCCTTACAGGACCATTGGCTTACTTTCTAGAAAATGGGATGTTTATAGACTATAGTGCATACAGACTAAAGGTGTTTCCACCAGTAAAACCCCATTCCCCAACAAGCAAAGCGTTTTTCCCTGTAAGTTGAGGTGCTGATCCCAAAGGTACGCACAGGAATGAACTATGTGTCCCTTTCTTCTGAAGGGCAATGTCTTATGTCATCTCTGTCAATTGAAGAATCGGGGCAGCCAGACTGGGAACGTCTGGTGGCTTTGACCTAAAGTTATCCTACTTGTGAAATACGCTATTCAGTACTTATGATTTCCATTTGCCCAAGAAGCAGTTCCTTCAGGTTATACGGTGGCTGACCCCCACTGTCACCTTCAGGGAAACATCTGAGAAGTCTGCTATATGCCATGCAGAAACCAATCTGTTACAGCAGCAGAGCTCTTCCCTCCCACCTTGCCTGCCCGAGTCTGACATCCAGGGAAAGGACCAGAGGGCTGATTAAAAATAGGGGTGACCTTTTTTTTTTTTGACATGTCAAAATCTTTCATTTCTTCTTTTCCCCAAGATTATTTCTCATCCACACTTCAATGAAAAATGGCCTTAATGGTCTTTTTTTTCAGCTAGCTTCTGTTCTCCCTTTTTACTTTGAGTTGTGGTATATAATAAAGCTTTCTACATAATTTGAATTTGACGTAACCCTTTCTGACACAAAGATTTAGTAAGACCACTGATATTTGCCACGGTTAACAACTGCCATTATCATGAATATCTGAATGTGAATTTACTAGAATAATATTTTGAGTTGTGATCATATGGTGTATTTATCACTACCTTTTGGAATTCAGACAACTATAAAATGAAATCAAATTAGAAAAAAAAATCAGAAAACTAACATGAAAAATACCCCAAATTATAGGTTGTCACCACTGAGGAGTGGTAAGATTTAAATGTAGTAAAATATTTTTTGAAAAGAGAAACATTAAACTATGTGCACAGTCTCCTTCTGGCTGCCAAGAACAGAATCTCAAAAATCAGGAGAAAGGATTTAGGTGTCCAGCAACTGTCAACACTTCGCAAGGTCAAGCAGAAACAAATCCAGAATGTGTTCCTGTGTGCCAAATCTCATGATTTTAGACTATCTGAAGATATTTGAGACAGATTAAAAGCACTAGTGGTGACACGATTATATAAAGATCTTTTTTTAGTACATGGTGTGAAATGTTTGAAAACGTAAGCCCAAACGGCAACTATCTAACTAACTAAATAGAAGGACTCAACTTTTATTGTTAAAATAAACTTTCATGCATAGTTCTCTTCTCTGCTCAGCTAACTTGCCAGTCTTTGGAGTTTGGGATTGGCAGTATTAGCATAAGGCACCCACTGGACTGAAAACAATGTTTCAAATAGACTGATGAAAATTTAAATGTACTTAAGATCCTCGGCACCTTCAAATTGGTGTTCGAACATTGATGGACACAAAAGATTTTTGAAATTAGAAAGAGAAAAAAGCAGGGATTTTTTTTTAGCATAAATCAAACAAAAATTAAGTCTGAAACACCTGGCACCAGAAAATGTTCCAGCCGCTACAAGATAATGGTCTAATTTGAAACCAATTTAGATCTTTCTCCAAACTTGATTAAGTTAACCTTAAATTCCTGAACAATGTTAATTAAAGGAAGCACTGAGAAGCCATGTGGGGTACAGAAGTGGGGAAAACAAAGATTTCTGGATCAAAGAAGGAAGCCCTGACTACACTGTTTAAAAATACATGTGGATAAGCATGCATGCCTAACTGCAGGACAGCTTGTTTGAGATGATGACGACTGCCCTCCTCCTCCCACGGCCAGACGCACAAGACCGAGGGGTGGCTCTGAGACCCCCTCTTTTTTTTTAACACAAGTTTCTCCTTGTGAGGGTTGCAGCGATGTTGTTTCACACTGACATCTTTGCGGTGGTGGTGATGGCACGTCTCATTCACACGCATATTGTAACTCTACAACTCTACTTGTCTCCACCTGTAGTAAATCAGTTTTCAGCAGTTATACATATATGTCCAGTTTTACAAGCTATAAAGGCCCAAGCCTAGTTAATCTTAGTCAATGTGCCAACTTGGCTTTTCTTCTTATTGAAGGGAAAACCTTCAAATAAAGAAATCTATAGTATTGCATATCCTTGCTCCAAATTCAGTTTCCGCAGCAACTATTAAGTAACAAGACATTTCTTGTGGATTAATGACTGCTTGGCAGTGTTTTGTTTGGGGCTTTTAACCCTAGCTTGTAGGTAATTTTTCAGGAAAAGTACCATGCAGAGGTAAATAATAGTATTCACTCTAGACTTAAGGCAATGCTATTTATCTAGTGCCGTCAATCTTGCTGTGTGGCACGATACCAGGAAAGGTTGAACTGATTCAGAAAAATTGTAATTAATAAAAAGGAGGGGGACCAGTATCATCTAGATTTAAAGTCTAGCCGCATGAATTATCTCGCTGTTCATTCGCTGCCAAAACCAGAACTTATCATCAGGCCATTAAGAAAATTGACTGTTTAATCCTCCTCTTTGCTTGTGCTCACCTAGCCAATTTTTGATTCATAATATTTTGTCTCTCCACAGATGATGATTTAAGAAATGTTTGTAGCGTCTCATAAAGGGCCCTGTCAAACACCTTTTGAAAATTATTTTAGCTGGCTCAACTTCATCCACTGCTCTACCGACATGTCGCAGGAATTATAGGAGATTGGTGAGATGCAATTTTCCTTTGCAAATACTCTGCTGGTTAGCTCACAGGGACCGCAGAGGCTCTCTCTTTGTAGTAACCTACACTAATATGCAGATTTTAGGGAAGCATTAGATATATTTATTCAGGTGGAAGTCAAGGCAACACAAAGCTAACACAGAGCTTTCCAAGACCCTTTAGCAAGTGATCACAGGACACAGTTTGAGAACCTCTAATCCAGTTACTCTTCTGTCTTCATAAAATCAGTTGGGTTTTTTTTAACACAGGAGACTCTCTCTTTAACTGCTGTCAGTTGGCAAAGATCCCTTTCAGTTCAGTGAAGCTACACTGCCACTAGCTGACAACATGGCTATGATTTTAGTGTCAAACATCCAAAGAAAAGAGCAAGGGATACGCTGAAACTTTTGGAGAG